CATTTTTTTTACGTGAATACCTTCCAACACCCTGGAGATCGGTGCTTTTTGGGTGTAGTCTTAACAGAGCCCCAGGAAAAGGGAGCTTTTCAGGTTTTGTGTGATGATTCTTATAAATCTGTTGCAATCAGCATTTACTTGTAATGAAACATTGTTCCACTGCCTTTTGTAAGTCACAAGTCCTTAATTTACTGTTACTGGAGGGAAAGAGTTTAGCATTGAGCTTTCCAGTAGAAGGCCTAGCCTTTTTTGTGAAGCTCTCTGTGTGGTACTATAGCTAGGTCATAGGGGACCCTCTGCCCTGCCTTCTGCCTAGGGAAAAAAAAAGTCTGTCAGCGTTTTAGTTTGGTCAAGGTACAAGTTCCCAGGAGATACTATGGTCAATCTTTTTCAACATGGGGGTCGTGGGAACATATACATGGAGGGTAGTATACAGCAAATATAAATGAGGGGTGCCCCAAGGAGGCAAGATATCCTTACACAGCCTGACAGATGGGCAACTCAAAAGCTAAAGTCAAGTGTCCCAGCCTAGATGTGTGACTCTTTCTGTATGAATGGCTAAAACAGGCAAGTGGATGTTGGATTACTGCATCTAGTTCTGGGCGCTGCACTTCGGGAGGGATGTGGACAGCATCAAAGGGTCCAGAGGAGGGCCACCCGCATGACTGGGGGGCAGCAGGGCAGGCTGTACAAGGAGAGGCTATGGGACCTGAACCTGTTCAGCCTCCACAAGAGAAGGGATCTGGTGGCCATCTATAAACTTACCAGGGGGGACCAGCAGGAAACAGGAGAGTCCCTGTTCCCCTGAGCACTACTGGGAGTAACTAGCAATAACAGCCACAAGTTGACTGAGAGTAGGTTCAGGCTAGATATCAGGAGGCGCTACTTCACAGTCAGGGTGGCTAGGATCTGGAACCAACTTCCAAGGGAAGTGGTGCTCACTCCTACCCTGGGGGTCTTCAAAAGGAGGCTAGATAGACACCTCGCCGGGCTCATTTGGCCCCAGCATTCTTTCCTGCCCATGGCAGGGGGTCAGACTTGATGATCTGCTCAGGTCCCTTCTGACCCTACCAACTATGAAACTCTGACTTGCCATGGGTCAATGTTAGAACCACTGGAGCTCTTGAGTCTCAGTTTTGTGCCTAAAGCACCACACTAAAATTCCTCCATCTTTCTAGCACATTAGTTAGACCAGGGCTGTCCAACAGCTACACAACCAAGGGCTGAACACCCCATGGGCCAAATCCACAAGGGCCACATACTTGCAAGCTGCACCCAAGCAAGTCATATATAGCCCCCTCCTCCTGCAGGCTTCATGCCATGTGGATGCTCCCTCCTCTTCCCACACCCCTCCCTCCACTTTGTGCCCATGTGGCCCCCTGGCTCACCCTTGGCCATCCACACTGCACTGCCCTGCCCCCTGGGGTGGGGGGAAGCAAAAGAAGCTGGAGGGGAGTGGGGGAGCCTGGAGACTCCAGCTGTTCTTGCAACTGGAATGATGAGGGGAGCAGCAGCCACAGCTTAACCCCTCATGGACCACAGGTAGCCCTTAGGCCACCAGTTGGACAGCCCTGAGTTAGACTGGCTGTGTACATCTGCCTCACTGTAAGTTGCATCACTTTGCTACTCACCCATTTTGTAGGCAATTTACAGCTGCTCTGCAACATGCATCATTCTTTCTGTCACTGCTGGGCTTCAGCCAGTGATGTCATTTCTGATGAGTGCCGCTGGGTTTCACTGGAACAGCTTCAAGCTTTTCATCACTTACTTATTTTCATTTCTTACAAAAGTGGAGCTTGGGATAGAGGGACAAAGTGCAACAGGCAAGACTGACCAGGGCTGTGATAGGTGCCAGGTCAAGTGCATGCATCCTCCTCTTACTGACTTTAACCTGAGCACTGCCACATGCATTTACCTGTTAACAAGAGACTGATGCCACAAGCACAACACAACACAACCCCCATACAGGGCATGACGAAGTTCATAACCGTGCCCCCCCCAAAAAAAAAGTCACCTGGGCTAGCTTCATTTGTACATATCTGTGTTTTTTTATTTCTTGTTTTGTTCGAAATGACCTGTACCACAAGAATACAATTGATTTATTTAACAGGTTTTTTGTTTTTTTTTAAGGAGCAGATAATAGTTGAGTAGATACGGTTTATTTCACTGTCTGACTAGAACTCCCTGCATCCTTCTCACAGCTTTGCTAGCTCTCTGCTTTCCCCATATAATCCAGCCACAAGAACAGGTGGCCTTGCACCACGTGATTGGTTTGTAGCTTGTGGATACAAGGGGAAGCTCTTTTTTTTTTTCTCAACTCTGGTTGAGGAAAAATTCCAACCAGTTACATTCTCCGGTCTTTCTCAGTGCCATTTCCTTTAATAGCTGCTTAGTGCTTACACTTCTGCAGCATGATTTTTAAAATATGTTTGTAATAGTTAAAAACAATTATGCCTTAGTTAGGTTATGAAGAGAAAGTAACACCCCCTATTTATCCTGACTGCTAATGTGAGGTTGTGGTTCAGTGTTTCTTCTGTCGCTTCATAGTTTTGCTCCAAACATAAATCTATGTGTCATTGCACCAGTTACCTTAAATGATCCCTGTGAAATGTATTTTGCTTAGAAGCCAGAAACCTAAAGGAATGTGGCCAAATAAGAGAAGCTGGCTCATCAGAGCCTCTTGGGGAGAGCTGCTTTGCTTTTATAGTATCTGGCAGGTGCTTGGGTTTCTGTTACCTGTGCACACAAACTTTTGCTGTATGAGTGGGAGCAGTGATACAGCTCCCACAAGAATGACTGGTGGACTCAGGCTTCCAGTTTATTACTTCTGAGTCTTATTTTACAGTTACTACATATGTTTAGTACCCAGGAGCAAGCCAGGGTCAAGCTTCTCTTACACATGTGAAGTTACAATGGTACAGGACTGGCTTGGTGACTTGGATGCTAGGTAGAGATTCCCTACAGGGATCTAAGGGAATCTGTCCTAGATTCCTATTTAATGTTTGAATTCTTGAATCCCAGATCATGTGCGAGTGAGACTGCTGAGCATGCAATGGCTGTAACAGTTGCTGCAGCCCTACAACATATTTCAAAGTGCATTGAGAGGGCTGGAGCATGACAGGGTCCATAAAGCCAGGTTCTAGTCTCTATTTTTGAGCACCCACCCTCATTGTATCTAAGCTCTAGTATAATGGCAGTACAATAATCCCAGGGGTATGCTGCCTCTGAATACCACTGTAGCCAAAGAGCCCAGACCTTGTTTCTTAGGTAAGGCTGTGGGGGGCCTTTAGGGTGAATTCCATGCCTTTGTTCCCTTCACAAATCCCAGGGGAAGTTCATATCCCCTTTTCCTGTAAAGGGGGTGGGGGGAGAGGTGCTTGCTAAGACACTGACTTCCCAGTCTGGATTCCAGTCTGCTGAGATGCTTTCATTGCTTGCTACAACAGCTGTATGAGCTGTGAGTGTACCGCTGGGCAGATAAGTTCTGCAGAGGTCATGGAGAACCAGGGTCTTGAAGCTTTTCTCTGAGAAGAGTATTTACAGCAAAACACCTTTATGGTCTGACTAGCTCCACTGGTGGCGCATTTTCGGGAGGAGGGGTGTGTGATGGTGCTTTCTGCCATTACCACTTCGGTATCTTTACAGTCCCCCATCAAGACAAGAATCCCCTCAGTAATCTAGTCATAGTCTGAACAAGCTGCTGTGGGATGGGAGCTAGACTTGACCCCTCTCCCGAGCCTCTTTTTTTTTTTTTTCTCTTCATTTGGGCTTAGCCTTTCTTTATTCAGAAACGATCCCAGTGCTAGCAGAATAGGAAGAATCCCTTTTACAAATGCAAGCAAAATTGCACCATTTTCAGAGACCTGAAGTTGAGGCCAGTGGTGGTTATAGCTTCTTCTCTGGCCTTCACAGTCAGGTTGCACAAAAAAGAAGCAAGACTAATGACTGAGAATGGCATGCAATGCTGCTGCCAGAAGGAGGTGGAGGGAACATGGCATGGAAGAGAACCCAGTGTATTGGGCACAACTCAGCCTGGTACATTAGTAAAAGTACTTATGCCAAACAGACAGAAACACTGGCCAAGGTAAAGTATGCACTTGGAGATGGCTACACAATGATAACACACGTGGCCAAGTGCCCTCTCCATCATGGGGAGTTGCATGAGTGTTTCACACAATTAGAAATTTTGTTCCTTAGAAGCCTCTGGGAGGAAACATGGTGCTCAGCATAGGAGTCTGTTCAAAGCACAAAGCTGTTGTCTGCTCTCTGTCCTGGGGAAGGGAGTGCAGGACCTGTCACATTTCCCAAGTGGCTTCTGGCTCCAGTGCTTAGTGCTTTGTTCTACGTGTTTTCTAAAGTGTGCAATCCCAGGGATCTCCCTCCCGTTTCTGAGTGTAGCACTGGGTAAACAAGGCTGAAGGAGCAGCACCAGGGCATACTGCAGAGCTAGATCAGGGACCAGAGGGAATCTAGCCACCTGATTGGGGTCTAACATACTCTGCTGAGAAAAAGGGAGCACAGTGCTAGTACAGCTAATGCGTTTCTGGTGCCTGAGTGAGCATGGGTAATGCTATGATGTGCCACAAGATGTACCGTAACTGCATCCTGAGTGAAGAGGCCTGGGCAGTGACACCTGCTCCTGTGGAAAGTGAGCTTAATGCATGGTCTGCTCTCTCCCTCTTTTGGGACCATGCCCTCAGCTCATACTCTCTCTCCTGGGCCTGCCAGCAATGCCGGCAGTTAGTGCTAGTTAGATTTTAGGGTAGACCTGAATTGAAATACTCCCTGCCCACGCTCGTGAGCAGCCAACAGATGATGATTTTCTGCTATCACTAACTCAGGCAGGCTTTGAACAAGAGATGTAGACAAGGAAGTCCTTGACTAGCCATCCCAAGTATTCTTAGCCACCCAAATTTCTCCACAACCACTTCAGCTACAATAGTTCCTACCTAAACCAGCTGATGGACAAGGGCCAGACATGGCAAACAAGTAGGGAATAATCCCTCCCAATCAACATTTCATTAAAGGAATAAACTGTTGGAGCTGGCCCCACATTAGGAAGTATGCAGTGACTCAGGAATTCTGAGCAAGGGATATGGTAGATGGGATGTAGTTGCTAAGGTTTGAACACCTCCATCTCAGTTGTTTTGGGGTTTTTTTTATTTGGTGCCCAACAGCAGGCTCCCAGGCATGGAGATCACTTTCTCTGGCAAACAGTTCCCTTTGTCTCCACTAGCCTGGAGTTGTGTGAAAGCAAATGTCACATGTTCAAAGAAAGGGGGAGGGCATGCCCAGGTGTGGTGTTTTGGGTTTGTTTTTTTTTGAGGGGCGAAGCATGTTTGTATTTGGGCCCAGTTGCCACATGCTCTAGCACAAGCACCTATGTGAGTGGCAGAGGGCTAGTTTCTGAGCTGAGGCAGACTTGAGACACTATGGGGTGAAAAGTGCAGAAGGAGTTTAAATAGCACCACATATGAGACGATGCAGAGATTATCAGGTGATGCCAGCACTGAAGCAGAATGTCAGGCTTGTTCCCGCTGCAGACAGAGACTTGTTTCTCGGGACAGGTCCTGCCACTTCACTAGCCTGTGGGGACTGTGTGGGGGTGGGAAGCAGGCAGGCAGAATGACACACTGTACAAGGTTGCAGAATATCTTACATGGTTAGGAGCAACTTTCCCAGTAAGAAGTGGGGCCTCTATGTACAAGTGTTAGGTGTAGCTAGAGGAGTGCAGGAGGCAGACATTTTGAGGTGAAGAGGTCCTATAATGCTCTTCTCTAAAGAAACCCGTGCCCCATGGTCCTGTCAGCTGGCAGAAGGTGACAAGCAGCAGGACCCATGGTGCCCCTTGCTCATCTGCTTGTTCATGCTCTCTCTCTGCCTCCCCCCCACCCAACACCAGCAAAGCTTATAGTGGCTCTACTCTTCCTCATTCCCTGCTTCCCTCCTCACTCCTCCTCCTCTGGATCTCGTGGAGGGAACTGGGGAGCAGGCATCTCTGGATAGTGCAGAGAGCATCACTGCTTCCATCTGGCCTCCTCCGCAAGTGCAAGAGCGTGCTCTGGTGTTTCCCACCAAGAAAACAAAAAAAGAGACATGAGTGACTGATTAAAAGAGTTTCCCCCTCTGTACATGAGATTCTGCAGCCAAGCCGACAGAGACATTAAATAATTCTTCCATAATAAATGATTGGAGATAAAAGCCGGCGGCGGCTGCTGCTGCTGTTTTGGATTGCTCCGTGTCTGGTTCTAGTTTGTTCCCTGGCCGCTGTGGGCTGGCACTGGGGCTGTCAGACCTTTGCCTCTAGCATTTCTAAGAAGAGTTTATGCATGGGGACCTTGCCCTGCAGTTTGATGCTGTAGAAGTGCTGCACGGCCTTGGCGGCTGTCTGCCGCAGGAGGGGCAAGGTCAGCAGCAGCTTGCCCGCTCGCCGTGGCTCCTCATTGCGCTGGCTCAGCTCGTAGTCCTGCAGGGCTTCATGGAGAAGGTCCTGGAGTTTCTGCACTGCCTCCATGTCCTCTATGTGCATGGAATCTGTGGAGGTTGAGGGAGGGGAGGAGAGCAGAGACAGCCAGTCAGCTAATGGGCTGGGAAAGGCCTTCATTTGAATTTAAGATTGTAGGTTGGCACTGCAGCTTCTGGAAAGCACCTCACTGGTAGGAAAACTTCAGGCCACATATGTGAGGGATGAGCATGTGCCTCCAGTGCTGAACCTTGTGCCAGTCACCACTCAGGGGAACAGCAGGTTCCAAAAGAGCGGCAGATACGGTGCACTCCTCCAGCACAGCCATTCTGACAAGTGCATGCAGCTGAGGTTGGCTTGGGGCTGGGCTGGGTACTTGACTACTGGTAGGTCTACCCACCCTCTAACCCCAATGGGGAGAGTCAAGAGCAGCGAGGGGCTGCTGCTGGTACTTAGCACTCAGGAGTGATTTTTGCATAAAGAGCAGCTTTAGCACCTATGAGCTAGCTGCATGCTGTGTGGCTGTGCAGGGTCTGGGTGATGTGCATGCTCAGAGGTCATGCCCAGGATGTCATGTGTGGTATACGTGTGTGTGCAGAAGCTGCTCAGAAAGTTTTCTGCTCTTGTCTTTTGGGTGATTTTTCCACTCCTCCACCAGGTTCTCAGCAGGGGAGGTTCTGAATAGGGCCTTCCTCGTTTTATACAGGCCGACCTCATGGTTTGCCATAAACAATGCTCAGGAGGCATTCATATCATTTCAAGTGTTGCCACCTGGTGAAACAGCCACTGTTGGCCCAGAGCTGAGAGCAGTGGCTGGGAGGCCTGGGAAGAACTTAAGATACCTAATTCCCCAGGAGATGCCATGCTGACAGACGGAGGTGGCAACACAGTGGGAGTGGGTCAGATTGGAAGAGCTGGCCCAGGGCAGATGTTCAGCAGTATCTTGTCTGTCCCTTCTCTGGAGTCAGGAGCCCCTCCTCTCTTTACCCCCTTCCCTGACACTGCTTGGAGGCCTTCACCGTATATCAAACCCACCATTAAAAACTCTGGCTTTGGTGCAGTGAATCCAAAAGCAATAAAGAAGTCTACCTATTTAAAAAAATCCCCATTAATATCCACGCACCACCTTGAATGTGCCTCCCAGCATCACAATTCCCCCATCTTTGGTGCCCTGGACTGATCCAAGACGCACACGTGCTGCAGCATGGCACTGGAAGTACAGGGCCTCTTGTCATGTTTCCATGTGTCAGGAGGGGGCAGGGTAACTCTGCTCTTTAGAGTGGTTTTGCCAGTGCATCAGAGAAGCAGGCTAGCAGTGTCCCTTGTGCTGCTTGCCTCTTGTCACCTGACTTCAAGGGGGAGGAGACCTTAGGGCACATAATAACTTCACACACAGAGAAAGAGAACTGGGAAATAAAGACCCAGCTCAAACCTACTTGCCGCCCCCCCCACCCCCCAAAATAATGCCCAGCCCCCTTTGTGCTGACTGGGGCTCTCAATTGGCAGCTGACTGCAAAAAATAAAATAACGTTGCAGGATTAATTTCCTTGCAATCCATCAGTGAACTGGTGTCGATGGCATTGATAAACTGTTAATTACAAAATCAATGGCTATGAATTTTTACAGCTGTCAAAGTGTCAAGGTGGAGGGAGGCTGCCTGGCCATGTCCCACAGGGGGCTATGCCATGGAAGTCACAATTCACTCCCACAAGCCCTGCTGCTCCTCTCCAGAGCCCCTGGCATCACGGCCAGATCTTGTGCATAACGGAGAGCCAGCCTGTCAAAAAAGTAGCTGCAGGCAGGGCCTGTTGTTTCTCCCCCCTTTTCCATGTGACACAAGGTATTAAGTGGGAGCTGACCCATCACATCCCCCATAAGCAGGGCTCCATGTGTTTCCCAATCACAGACACTTCTGCATAGCTCACCCCTTGCTCTGGCCCTCTGCTCAAACCACCTCAGCACTGTGGTCATGTCTTCAGGGGAGGGGAACAAAGAGAATAAATGGCAAAGGGACAAGATTAGGGACAGGAATTAATGGCCCCTGTTGAATATAGCATGTTGCCCTGAAAGCAAAAGCTTAGGCCAGTTCAGAGGTCCAGGTGGAGTGGGTAGTAATGGCTTACACTGTAGCACAGGGTTATCCAACTGGCAGCTGCTGCATGCAGCCCAGTGTCATGCCATCCCTGCTGGTGCAGCCCATGAGGCATGTGAGTTGTGGCCACTTAGAAGTGGGACAGCCCTGCTGTAGCCTGTTCAGTACAGCACCAAGAGGTAACTGGGGGTTCAGGATCTGCCAGCAGTCTGGACATGAAAGAGCTCAGAGATCATGGTCTTCACTCTTCTTGAGGTACAAGCAAAATCTCCTGCATTCTTCCAATTGCTTCCCTGATGTTTCACAACATTCCGAAGGAGCTGACGACCAGCTACGGGTCTGGGAATGTACAGTACTTCCCAGCATGGCTGTCCATGCTTAGCTCCTCAGAAGAGGTGAGAGCTAACCCATTGTTCTTGGTTATCTTTTGCACTGGTGTGCCCATAACCTGTGGGAAATTGGGGACTTCCTGGGTATGTGTTAAAGAAGACAACCTACACTGGGAAGCACATGCAGGCTAAATGCCAGACTTGGAGTTGCCTGTGCAACATTAACCCAGCCTCTGAGGGTGCCTGCATCACGAGAAGTTTTAATTACAGGAAAAAGGGGGCACTCACTTATGCAAAAAATACCAGGGCTATAAAGGGTTCTTCAATCAAGTGGACAGAGTTCTGCTCCTAACTGGGCCAGGCACCCCAAAAAATTCAAAGGGGTTGCAAGTGCTAGCTGAGAGCAGGATCTGGCCGAGCATTTTTCAACCCTTTTCTTGCTTTCTGTGATTCACAGAGCAGAACCATGCAGCAGCTTGCAAGAGTCATTCACTTTAACTGTCAAATGTCTCTGTCATTCCTCCCTTCTAGCGTGCCCACATCCCCCCACATCTTAGT